GCTTCCACATCCCTGGACATTATGGGCAATTTAGCATGGCCAATCCACCTAACCTGCACATCTTTGAACTGTGGGAGAGAGTCCAATATTTGGCCTAAGTCAGGATTTAGAGTCAGCATTGTGTACAGAGACGTAACTTTAGAAGTTTAAAATAAAACAAAAATTTGTGGATGCTGGAGATCTGAAACAAAAACAGAATGTTCCAGATTCAATAAAGTGTCACTGGACTTGAAACATTAACTCATTTTCTCCCCACAGTTGCTGCCAGATATGCTGAATTTCTCTAGCACGTTCTGCTTTTATTTCACTTCAGGAATCTACTTAGGCAACTGGTTCCTACGTTGCAACAGTTTATGGAAGTGGTAGGCACTGCTCATTCTGTTGGGCTGGGGAATGTTGTGTGTGTCTGTAGGAGGCGATTGTGTATTTGTTTTTGGTTCTTAGTAAACTGTGGAACTCACAAAGTGTGTTCTTCTTGGAAACATTTTAATCCACCAAATTGACATCGAATGTCATCCAAAATACACATTGAACAAAAGGCAGGGCACAGCATGTTCAAATTCTGTACAAATCCATCAATCTTTGCCAAGTTTTTCAATAAATCATGAAGATAATGCAGGTTAGGATTATTACTTTGAGTAATCCAAGTTGTATACCATTGCCAACTGCTGAATGTGCCTAGTGTGGATGATACACCAAATTCCCCGCAGACAGAGATTATTCTGCTAAATTCTGTCAGTGTTCATATGGCATAGTGAGACACTTGGTTTCCACAGACATATCTAGGAGCAAATTATATGCTGAAAATTATATTATCTGAAAATGGTGCTACACTAGGAAGAAATACCAGTAAGAATGGCAGAGAAATAAAAAACATTGTCAAAATCAAGGACAGTTTACCAGTGATTACATTATGCAGATTAAACAGTTGTCACTAAGTTGCAATAATGGGGACAAATTAGCTGAAAATCTATTGGATTTTGATAGCTAGTCTTGAGGTGAATCCACATCACTGAAGCTTATGAGAAGAGTGAGTGCAGACTGGAGGATGACATTTTGAGGCAACGGACCACACATTCGCACGTGAGGTAATAGTGGGGAAGAACTGAACTACCACATACAAGGAATGCACTCAAGGAGGATCAGATGGAAGATCATATTAAACACCATTTATAGAAAGCAACAGGGGAATTTGCAAGCCAAGGAGGAGAGCAGAGACAAGCAAAACTCATGCTTTTGATATAAAACAATCCCCAGCTCAACCTGTGTTTGTTTACAGACATTGCTGAGGAAACAGATACATTTAGAGGAATTGACAAAGCTGGAATCAAAGCTCAACAAAAACACGAGTAATTAGAGGCAAAGAATAACAAGACCACAATAAAGATGTTTACAAATTAGATGGAAGATATGGGTAGTAATGGGAGTGAGAATGCTGCCAATGCCAATGATAGGTTGAAGTTTTATGATGGAAATTAAAATTATATAAAACAAAGAACTGCAGATGCTTGGAATCTGAAACAAACAGAATTTGCTGCAGAAATTCAGCAGGTGTGAATGCACCTGTGGAAAGAAAGCAGAGTTAATGTTTCGAGTCCAATGACTGAATTTAAGTGTCTGCAGCTGCTGCCAGATCCTTTGAATTTTTCCAGCATTTTCTGTTTTTGTTTGAAGTTTTAATAATAGTAGTTGCAATAGATGTGGAGGGTAATATTGTTAACAATGGGAGTTAATACAGGATTCAGTGTGGCAATGATAGTGGTGGCTTTCTACAAAGCCAATTTACCAGTTAGAAGCAGACAAGTCATTTATCAGTTACACAGGGGAAGATATCAACCTTACTGGAAAATTGGAGGTTAGGTGCAACTTCAAAGTTGAGCCAAGTTTGTATGTTGCAGATTATAAAAAGTATACATCATGAGGTAGCATCTGGTTGTAAGTAATTTGTTAAAACTGGGAGTGTCTGGGCTGGTCAGTAAATCTGAGATCTACAATGAAAGCAGGATATAGTAACTGTGTTAGAGAAGCAACATTTTTCAATAGGCAGTTAGATAACTTATAGAGTCATAGAGCCATAGAGTTTTACAGCATTGATCCATCATCTCCATATAAGTCATCAAGCACCTATCTACTGTAGTTCTATTTCCCAGCAGTTGGCTCTTTGCTTTGTACGCTATGGTGTTTCAAATACTTGTGTAAATGCTTCTTAAATGTTGTAATGGTCCCACCTCTACGAGCCTTTCAGACAGTGAGTTCCAGATACACAGCACCCTCTGGGTGCCAAGATTCTTCCTTAAATCCTATGTAATCCTCCTGCTCTTTATGTTAAATCTATGTCCCACTGGTTATTGATCACTCTGCTAAGAGGAAAATACTTCTTGACTACGCCCCTCTTAATTTTGCACACCTCAATCAGAACCCTCTCAACCTTCTCTGCTCTAAGGGAAATAACTCCAGTCCCTCTTCGTAGCTCAGAGTACTCCAGACCAGGCAACATCCTGGAATGCCCTTTACACCCTCAGAGCATCAAAACATGCTTTCCATAGTACAGTGACCAGGACTTCACACAGTACTTCAGCTGTGGCCTAACATCTTATCAAGCCCCATCATGACCTCACTGTTCTTGTAGTCAATGTCTACATAAAGGCAAGTATCCCATATTCAAGATTTTGAAGGAAATGGCAAAGATGGTTGATGACGGCAGGGTGGTACATGCCATCTATGTGGACTTTAACAAGGCCTTTGACAATATCCCTCATCGCAGGCTGATAAAAAGGTGAAGTCGCATAGGATCTGCGGTGAGCTGGTAAGACAGATACAGATGTAGCTTAGTCACAGAAGACAGACATTAGTGGTGGAAGGGTGTTTTTCTGACTGGAGGCCTGCGACCACTGGTGTGCTGCAGGGATCACTGCTGGGATGCCTGGCGTTTACAAGATAGAATCCCTAGTGTGGAAGCAGGCCATTCAGCCCATTGAGTCCCCACTGACCTTCTGAACCGCATCCCACCCAGACCCATCCCCCTACCCTACCCAATGCTAATCCACCTAGCATGCACACCCCTGGACACTACAATTTAGCACAGTCAATCTACCTAGCCTGCACATCTTTGGACTGTAGGAAGAAACCTGAGCACCTGGAAGAAACCCACAGACACAGGGACAACATGCAAACTCCACACTGTCTGAGGCTGGAATCCATCCAGTCCCTGGCACTGTGAGGCAGCAATGCTAATCACTGAGCCACAGTCCTGCCCACTGCACTGCCTGTTTACAACAAGCTTTGTTTTAACCAGCTCCTTATGAACCAACACTCGACAAATGGTCAAAAATTACATATCTCAAATACAGCAAAGTTTATGGTATTATTCTGTCCAGTTACAGTTTGAACTTATTTATCTCAATGTAAATATACTTATTCAATCAAATGGCCACGTGAAATATCAACATTGATTCAATTTAGAGTCAAATGCTCCTCAAATATTGTGATCCATCACAATGTCAGAGTAGTCAATTGTTGGTGCGAGTCAGAAGGCTCTCTGACAACAAGTTTTATTTAAGGCAAAGTTGCATTATTATTTAAGCCATTTATGTTGTAGGTAAGTCATGTGTAGACCCCCTGCATTAGGTTACTATTACTTAGTGCGCACTTACATATGTGGACCTCAATTGTTTGGAATATTTGATCAACACACACGTACCCTGGTCCCATACGTGCCAGTTAATCAAAAGTTTGGTGTATATGTAAATGATTCAGATGAGAATGCAGGGGGGAAAAAGGTGGCCAAGGCAGCATTCAACAGGTTTACCTTCATTGGTGAGGTATAGAGTATAAAAAAAATTGGCAAGTTGTGTTGTAGTTGTATGGAACTTTGGTTAAGCCACATTTAGAATATTATGCATGGTTCTGATCATCATGTTGCCTGGTTTGAAGGATAGTAGCCATAAGGAGAGATTTGACAAACTTTTTTTCACTTGAACATTGGAGGAGGAGTGGCGACCTGATGGAAGTTTACAAAATTATGACTGGCATTGATAGACTATCCATTCTAAGTTTTTTAAGCCCCAGAGTAGAAACTTGAAACACTTAATCATTTAAGAGGGATCTTGATAGATACATGAATAGGGAAAAAGGGTATACAGACAGCCGAGGCAAAAGGTTTCTCATCTCGGAAGGCACGTATTAGCACAGACCTGATGGACTGAAGGGCCTGTTCCTGTGCTGTACTGTTCTTTATTCTCTTTGTAATTGTGAATAGTAATAGTGTTAAAGTTCGCTGCAATGAATAACAAGATGCTCTTAAGGACTCTTTCATTCCTCTTTGTACAGATTGTAATGCAAGATGTGTGATTTGTACGTTTCAGTATAATTCACTTTGAATTTTTTGTTTTTGAAATAGAGGCATATGGGCTTTGTGCAGCTGAAGGAGTTTAATGAAAGATTCAAATCACCAAATCTAATTTCCTTTTCTGGTACCAAGTATGGTATTAATAAATTGAGTCTTTTCTCCTTAATATTTGGCTGAAAGTGGATTTGGTGATTTAATGCTGCCACTACCTACCCATGCTTTTTTTAAAAATTCAACCCAAGCAAGACTTTATTTTAAATGGAATAGTCATCTGTACATTCAACAGAAAGACACATCCTCCAAATGTGAACTGGGAACTCTGTGTGTGTGTAAGAAAAGGAGTGCTTGAATGTATAATCAGATGCTCCACATTCAAATATCCAGTTAATTATCACCTTCTGTGCCATAAATGACACACAGGAAGCTGATACAAATGGAAGCTTGAACTCCCTTTGTATGGACCATTAGAGAAGAGCCATGGTTCCTGCCTGGCACTAAAGCACCAGTAGTGGTGGTGGGAGCCTGCCATCCAATCCATCACAACAAGGAAAGAATAAAAGCTACAGAATCATGAAAATGGGTATCTGTCCTCAGAGGGATTCAAAAACAAAGTGTCCTGTTGTTTGAAATGATTTTCAAAACACAGCATACATGCGATTTTAAAAACACCACACAAGGTAATTTTATTCCAAAGTTTAATAAACCGTACAAATAAAGAGCTTACACAGATAATTGCATAGGATAAAGTTGAATTCCAAGGACATTCATAGGGAGAAGGAACAGTTACATCACAGAAGGGTAAATGCTTGTTAAAACTCCCAGTCTGTGCTCAAGACCTTTAAAATCTGTGACAAAAAAATGTACATATTTTCACAAGCCCATATATTAAGGGTATAAAAGGTTTACAATGTCATGGTGGCATCTCCAATGATTTATCAAAACGCAATATCTCAGGAGACATATCTAGTGATTTTCTATTGTATGCTACAAATAGCAACCTTGGGTCAGCATGACACAATAGCAATGTCTGTCAACAATTGCCAGTGTGGTCCCCATGTCAGAAATCAGGCCTTTGCAACATCCTTACAAGCTTTGAATTTGTGTTTCAAATTGAGACAAACCACTTTCAACTCACTAACCAAAAGCCACAGACTTTTAAACTACAGCAGAATAAAACTCCAGGGGTGGCAGAGGAAAAGTGGTGTGCATTCTTTATTAATTTTACATAATGTTATCCAGCATCAAGTCAGAGGTCTCAATACACTTTTAGCAAGAGCTCTTCATATCAACATACTTTGCTTTAAAACCTACTCAAAAATCAAAGCTTGCCAAGAATGGAAGGCCATGAAATAGAGAACAGGAAGGAAAAGCAAATACACAGTTATAACAGCTATCATGTTTATGGCATATATGTCAAGGTCTGCCCAGTTCACTGTAATGGAAAGGGCAGAGCAGTCAAAAAGAAAATAAAAATGTTCCAACGCTGCAGTTAAAGTTTTGAACAAAAGACTTCCCCCATGAAATTTATTGGATTCAATACAAATGTTGAGCCTATATTAATTTGTTGTTCTAAACCCCATGTTGTGTTTCACACCTTGGCTGGTGGTTTGCAGTGTTTACACAGAAGACGTTGTACCATGGGCACTTGTGGCATGTAAAGCTTTATTTTTCCCCCAGTTAGAATTATTATAAGTGGCTCAGATCCACTAGAGTCTGCTCAAGCACCTGATGAATGCCCACATTCTCTTCTTTTGCTCGGGCCAGTTTCTCTATTGGTTCATGGAGAAAGAAAAATGAGAATTTAAATTTAAATAAAAAAATCAAAACAGTCTTCGGTTAAAATTAGAAATAAATGAACTGTTGCAAAATCAATAATGTAAACCACCATTTCATTATACACGCGTGAGCTTAACAATTTCAAAACATTTTTCATGTTACAACATTCAATTGCTTAATTATGAATTTGCCAACTCCAATATAGCATTTTAAATTTTCAAATTTAAACTTAGTTTATATCTCAAGAATTCCTCTCCAACTCATCTTGTTTCTTCCCCTTAAATGCACCATACAAGGTTACCCTCTGCAAATACAGCATTACATCTCCACTACCCCCAATTCCACAACTCTATGGTCCAAATTAGGTCATGGCTGAACTAAAACATTTAAGTCAAGTTGCTAAATGCACTTTTGTACATCCTTGGATTTCCCAGATGCAAACTAGATTTGAAATGCAATATTTATATAGGCATTTTACACAACAATGCAAACACTGTGCAATATGCATTGAATTGAGAAATGTGTGAGTAAACCCCCCCCCCAGGTACAGTGATTTTGCTTTTTTAAAATGAACTACTGAACAGTAGTGGCCAGCTTTCATTTTCTCCCATTCCACATCTACATTCACTGTGCTGAGAATAGTATTGCATTCAAGAAAAAAAAACAAGTTGACAAAGGCAGAATTAATCTAAATCTTTCTGCAGATCATTAGATTAAATATGCAGTTTTTGTTAAAATTTCATATGAAGAGACATGCAAAACAATGCTACGAGTTGATATTGAACAGAAAGAAGTGTTAATGTTCACTTTAAAAAATAAATAATCAGGCAAGACAACATAGAGCACGCTTTTTGGCAAGTCTTCAGAGTAAAGAAAGTCAGTTGTTAAGTTCATTCAGCACAACTCTCAGTTCACTACTGAGGAGACGATTTCTCGCTACCTCCTGACGGAAACGCTCTATTGAAACAGCATCAGTGACAGCAGATTGAAAGAAGAGAGAGTGGTGTTAGTCATGTGGAACAGATCACCTGGATAACAGGTTTAAACTATTCACATGAAAGAGTGAAGTAACAAAAAGAAATATATATACCTCAAGTTAAAGAGAGAATTGTCTGATGAAAAACAGTACTTGAAAAATAGCTTTGAGAAAGTTTTTAGTAAACTTTGTTGCTCTGCAGTCCTTTGAAATTAATATGGTCTATAAGATTGGGGGGGGAAAGAGGAGAGACGAGATGAGAGGAGACGAGGACTGATACCCTGATCCATCCCTCCTGATGTTTGATTATAACTATCTGAAATATACTGGATCAAAAGGTTTTAAAAAAATAATTTTCACATAGCACTGATTTATGAACTCAGCACACCTGTCAATACCAAGGATGCAAACGTTAATTTTCTTCACACATTAATGTCCTGTTTTGTATCACCTTCATTTAAAGGGATTATTTCACTGTGCTAATCACTAAACGATCAAGGGGTTAGATTCAGTTCAGGTGCACCACAAACACTCAAACGGGCAAAATATACAATTACACCATATATTGCAACAGGGCATTTTAAACAGTACAAAGACAAACTAAAGACTGCTTGAATTATTTGAAATAAATCAAATAGAACAGATGCTAAAATGAAAACAAAATCTACTTAAACATTGAGACCTTTGTACTAACAAGACAACAGCATTGATCGAACAAGATGAATTCAACACAGCTTCTAGTGTTGAGTCAGCCTTAATGTTCTGCCCAAACTAGCATGGATTTGCTTTGCTTAAAGTTAGTTGGCATTGCCTTGTACAAATCAGCTTGTATATGCGAAAACCCTTTCCTTTCTTGTTTAGGCATGGCTAGTTTTGTTCAATTTACAAATTACCACTTGCAGAGAAACAAGCTGCAATGGTATACCATAAATAGGCTGCTGCCTCAAGCATCAGGAAACCGGGTCCGTTTCCACTCTTGGGCGACGGTGCAAACTCGAAACAGACATTCTCCCTGTGTCTGTGTGGGTTTCCTCAGTGTGTTCCAGTTTCCTCCCACAGTCCAAAGATGTGTAAGTTGGACTGGCCATGCTAAGTTGCCCATAGTCCCACAGGGATGTGTAGGTAAGATGGGTTAGCCATGGGAAATGAAGGGTCACAGGGATAGGTTGGGATGTTCTTCGAAGGGTCAATGTGGACTCAATGGGGTGAATGGACCACTTCCACACTGTTAGGGATCCTATGAAATATCCATTAAATTTATTACACAACTGATAACTAGTCTTCGCCCACTGACAAAATACCTTGGCTTGAGCAATTTCCAAATACAGGAGGAGATCAACAAGACAGCAAAATGAGACTTGAATTTTTAAATTCATCCATGGGCTGTATGGATCATGAGCATTTTTATGGACCTTGCCAATCTCTACCAGCCCTCCAACAAATGCAAACTCCATAAAAGTTATTTGTGGCAGATTGCAATGAAGTGGAAATCTTCCGTTCTAACTCAGTGTTATTTTATAGTCTTCTCTGTACAATATTAAACCAATTAATAAAGGCAGTGGTGATTTCTAATCTTGAAGCAGAGCAGATATACCCACAGCTGTCAGGATTTTGAATGGCACAAAATACTTTCATAATTCTCCACCTCCAAGGTTAAAAATTACAGCATTCACGTTGTGTTTTGTGCCATCAACCCTTGGTCACCAAAAACAGCAAAAAGAGAGAACAAACCCAGGTTTTAAGAGCAATTGTAGTGACCAACTAAATAGATCTCTTTGCATTTAAGTTTCTAAACATACTGTTCATTCAGAAATAGAAATAGAAAATGCAAGAACCAAAACGAATAAAGAATGATAACTAGATGATAATGCTTAGTGCAAAAACAGAAATGTATTTTTCCATCTTGCATGCTATTATTTTAATATGCTTTACAGCTGAAAGTTGCAGCAATGATTCAAAAGGCTAATATACTATGCAAGTTGCAACTCAAAAACACCATTTTACTCACAGGTGGGCAGAGAAATAGTGGCTATAGCAAGGCAAAGTGGGTAAAGAAAAGAATTAAATGTGATGGGGCTTTACACAACAAGAGAGATTCCAGAAAGACTGTTCATTTACTATCAGTTGGGATATCTTAATTATGGTGGGTAAGTTTTGTGATTTTGTTCCCAACATTTTGTTTTAATGAATAAATAAGAAATTTACAGATGGATGTGGATAGTTTGAGAGAATGGGCTAAGATTTCACAGTTGTGAAAATGCAAAAGTTATCAGTTTTGGTCAGAAGACTAGAAAGGCAAATTCTTAGCTAAATGAAGAGAAACCTCAAACTGCTCTGGCTCAGAGGCCTGGGTGTCCTTGTGCTTGAATCGCAGAGTTAGCATGCAGGTACAGCAGGGAACAAGGATGGCAAATGGAATGTTATCTCAGATTCTCCAGCAATCGGCAGTTCCTACTATCTCTGGCAAATGGAATGTTGGCATTTATTGCTAAAGGAATGAAGGATGAAAGTAGAGTGTGTTGTCTTAACTGGGGCATTAGTGAGACTGCAGTTGGAGCACTGTGTACAGTTTTGGGTTCCTAACTGGAGGAAGGATGTAATTACATTGGAGGCAGTTCAAAGAGGCTTCACAAGATTAATTCCGAGATGAAATGCTTGTCTTATGAGGAGAGATCGAGCAGTTTAGGATCATACATACTAGAGTTCAGAGGAAACGAGGGGAGATTTAACTGAGGCAGTCAACATGCTGAAGAGGATTGCCAAAGCAGACATAGAGCAGATACTTTCCTTTGTAGGCAATCTAGAATGAGAGGTCATAGTTTTAGGATAAGGTGTGGCAGATTAACAGAAAGATGAGCAATAATTATTTCTCTCAAAAGAGTTGTGAATCGGTGGACCCCAGAGTACGGTTGACACCACAGCACGGAATAAATTTAAGGAGACGGCAGAGTTTTAATTAGTAATGGGGTTGAAGCGTTATAAGTAGGAAAGTGGAGCTGAGGCCAAGATGAGATCATTCACAATCATATTAAACAGGGAAGCAGATTTGAGGGGCTGAATTGCTGACTTCTGCTCGCACTTATGTTTCATGTAAACATAGCTGACTTCTCTTAGCTTGAAGTTGAATAATTCAGATGGCATTAGAAGGGTCAGGGAATCACTGTTTGAAAGGATGGTAGTGGCAGAACTCTCATCACATTTAAAAAGAACACTTTGATAAGTACTTGGAATGCCATAACCTACAGATCTATAAACCTCAAACTGCCAGCTGGGATTAAGATGGATAGTTCTTTCTTGACTAGCACAGATTCCACAGACCAAATGGCATCCTTTCTGCATGGTTTTTCTATGCAACTTAACCCATGCAATTTTAAATTACTTCAGTTAAACTGGTCAATTCCAATCCCAGCCCTCCTTTACAAATGCAAACCCCATAAAATTAGCAGTAGCAAGTTGCAATGAAATGGAAACCTTTCATTCTAACCCAGTGTTGTTTTATAGTCTTCTTGGTACAATATTAAACCAATTAATGAATGAGTTACAAAAAGAAAAACATAGGAAAAACTACAAGAATTTAGAAAAATAAACAAAATCTAGAGGGTATCTGGAGCTTAGGGCAAGGCTAATAAGAACTATTAGAAACTCAGACCAAACGAATTCATGTTTGGTGCAGCAAAACAGACATCAGAATACTAGACAGCTGGGGGCTGGGGACTGGAGTCAGGGAAACTACATAATGGTTCTACAATCTTCTGAGGAAAGAATTCACAGAAGGTACAATTTGTACTCTTGGCCTGATTTTTGGACTCAACCAAAAGGAGGGTGTCGACTCAGCAAATGAAAAGAAGAATTCTGCAAAGACATTAAATAACAAAAAACCTGAACGATAGGTTAATGTTTTAAAAAATTCACTCGAGATGTGGGTGTTGCTGACCGGGCCAGCATTTACTGCCCGTTGCCCTCAGAGATGGTGGTGAGTTGCCTTCTTGAACCAACGGAGTTCATTTAGTGTACCCACAATGCCCTTAGGGAAGCAGTTCCAGGTTTTAATCCAGCAACCCTAAAGGAACAGTGATATATTTCCAAGTCAGGACAATGAGTGGCTTGGAGGGGAACTTGGAGCTGGTGGTGTTCCTGCGTATTCACTGCCCTCACCCTTCTAGATGGAAATGGTCATGGTTTGAAAGGCACTGTCTGAGAAGTCTTGGTGAATTCCTGCAGTCCACTTTGTGGATGGTACTGAGCATTAGTGATGGTGGGGTGAGAAAAAAAAGAGTGGATGCTGGTGAATATTGGCAGGCTGATTTGTCCTGAATGGTGTCAGACTTCTTGGGTGTTGTTGGAGCTGCACTCATCCAGGCAAACAGGGAAGATTTCATTATACTCCTGACTTGTAGATGGTGGACAGTCAGAAAGTGAGTTACTCGCTGCAAGATTCCTAGTCTCTGCTTTTGTAATTTCAAAAAAGACCAAAAAATGATCATCTGAAGGATCTGCATTTTTATCCATCGGCAAGAGAGACAATTGGTTACACGGCTTGAGGGGCACCAACCCACACCAAGTATAGGGTGAGGCAAGGGGACAGACCCACTGTGAACTAACACAGGCAACATGGAGATGGCATCACTCTGCACCACACACTTAGCCATCTCGCCAACTAAGCTAAACAGCCTCCACATGAATGTCAGCTATAGCTCAGCAGACAAACTTGTGCCCTTTCCCTCAACTAGTGAGCTAGTGAAGTGATAACATTTAATTTTAACCGGTACCCACTAGAATTTATTAAAATGCAAGCTCACTTAAATGAAACTATTCCTGCTAAAATGTTCCTTTGTATTAACAGTCATTTGTTGACATGATTGTTAGCTTTTTGGTGACATATTTGGAATCATGCCTCGTGATCAGTTCAGAATTTTCACTCAATGTGTCGTAACTGTACACGTCATCCTTAATTTCTCTTGAGAAGGTGGTAGCTCAAGGACAGTTAAGAATGTGCAACAAACATTAACCTGATCAGTGATATCTACATTCTATGAATAAAAATATTCAATTGCACCACAAGCTTCAAGAGACAAGTTTAAAATTTGATATTAAAACAAGCTCACTTTCCAGACCCACTTGCTCACAGAGGATGATGATGGAATCTATTGTCCTTCCTGACCCTGCAATCTAACAGCCGTGTCAAAGTCAACAAATTTCATAAAACCCTTCAGTCAAAAAAAAAACTGCATGTCATCCTCAGACCCAGACAAAATACACAAATTGATCGTTCCAGGAGGAATGATGTTGAAGAGAGACTTAACACAACTTCAACAGTAACCATCCCAGCACACAAAACGAAGCTGCGTGCGAACACTATTTAAAAGGGCAACAACACACTGCCGCAACACGGAACTTCTTCCTCTTGGCGTAGAATACCTCTTCCAGATTTTCAAGGATAATGGATATCCAAAGAATTGGGTCAGAAGATGCCTACACGAACAGCATCAGAAAGATTCTACACGCCCCGACACATGCATCACACTACCCTACATCAGGAACATGTCGAAACTCACCACAAGACTCCTACGACTGCTGGGCATCAGAGTGGCACACAAGCCCACATCAACCCTATGACAAGTGCTCACCCCAACTAAAGACCCACTCCCCGCCATGGACAGGACCAATGTCATCTACAAGATCCCCTGCAGAGACTGTGAGAGACACTACGTCGGACAAACAGGAAGGAAACTAACGACAAGCGTACATGAACACCAACTGGCTACAAAAAGGCATGACTAATACTCACTCATCTCAATCCACATGGATAAGGAAAACCACCACTTCGACAGGGACAACACCAAGATCCTGGGACAGGCTAGGCAGAAACAGGCACGATAATTCCTAGAAGCATAGTACTCCACGAAGCATGCTATTAATAAACACATTGAACTCTACCCCATATACATTCCACTATGAAGGAAACCTGGAAGTGAGGCAATCCATCTCAATGGACCCCAGAGTTTAAAAAACCAGGCGGGAAAACACACCGACGCTTTATCGGAGGCTGCGCTGAGGATGTTACCAAGCATGGTAATGAAACGTCTGCAAAACAAAAAACCAGCTCGGCGAGCCAACCAACTTCAACAACCTTAACACAATAACACCACAAAACAAATCCTCACCTCCATAAGTGCCCTCTCGTTCTAAACTGTTTCATCAGGGGAAAACATTGTTGTAGCATCTACAATGGCAACCTTCAGGATCAAATCTGCTGTAAGATCACTGCTCGTTCTTCTTAACTCCAATGAGTACAGACCCAATCTGCTCAACCTTTCCTCAAGCAATAAACCCTTCCTCCATGAATCAGTTGAGTGGACCTTCTCTGAATGGCTTCAATGCAAGTATTTCCTCTGAAGTAAGGAGACCATGACTGCACACAGTACTTCAAATGTAGTAACACTTCTCTATTACTTTTTAAGAAGAATAATTTTTAGATGCTTACTTACAGTAGGTTGGTGACAATATACACCCATGAATAATTCCACCAGTACATTATAGACTATTAAACTCAGAGAATTTGGAGCTAGGGGACAAGTGGCAGAATGGATTGTTTTTTGCCATGAAGCCAGCTAGCAGAGTATATGAATAAAGAGTAGATATTAAACAGTGGCAGGTAGGAAGTGGCCTTCTACAAGAATCTGTATTGGGATTAATGTAAATTATGAACAGTAAAAATTGGACGTGGACATCAAACATTTCTAAATTCATGAACGAGAAGTGGGAAAGACAATACAAGAAGGTTGAAACAAATTACGGAAGGACACAAATTTGTAGAACGTGCAAATAACTGGCAAAGTTCAAACAACAGGCAAGTTAGGTGAGTTGAGAAATGCAAGTCTCGGAGAGGCAAAGGAATAACAGGATCTCAAAGTATGAATCCCCAAACACATTAATAAAGTCATTTAGAAAAGTAAGCCAAGCATTAGTTTCAATTTCTAGAGGTATATAATTAAAATTTTAAAAAATTATGCTAAACCTACATGAAACCACAAAGTGATGCATGCAGTTCTGATCACCCCATATTATAAAAAGGTTATGGAGGCACTGTTGAGTGCAGAGGGAACCACAGGGCAGGCATGCATGGGTATACTTATCAGGAAAGGAATGACAGGCTGGGTCTCCTTTCTCCTGGAAAAAGACAGATGACCTTGAAAATTATTGGAAGGGTTTGACACAGAGTGGATCCAGACTCCATCTGAGGAAGAGCCTAACTTCAGGCCAAGAGAGTCACAGACATTTCAATAGCAAACTCCGATTTCTTTACCCAAATGTGGAGCTTTTGAGAACAATAACTATACAAGGCAAATTACATAAAAGTGTATTTAAGGAGAAACTAGACAGGCCTGAGGGAGCAAGGAGGCAATGGCCTAGTGGTATTATCTCTGGACTGTTAATCCATAGACCCAAATAATGTTCTGGGGACCAGGGTTCCAATCCCCGCCATGCAGGATGGTGGAATTTGAATTAAATAAATATCCAGAATTAAGAATCTAACGATGACCGTCAATCCATTGTCGATAGTTGGAAAAACCCATCTGGTTCACTAATATCCTTTAGGGAAGGAAACTGACATCCTTACCTGGTCTGGCCTACATGTGACTCCAGGCCCATAGCAATGTGGTTGACTCTCAACTGCCTTCTGAGCAATTAGGGATGGGCAATAAATGCTGCTTAGCCAGCGATGCCATCATCCCATGAATGAATTTTTTAAAAAAGGAATTGTTGGTTACAACAGATGTAGATTTAGAGATGGCTTGACAGGAGGATAAAACCAGCATGGACCAATATGGTGTGTTTCTCTGTTGTATATCTTGCGTTTTCTTTTGGAACTATAATAGAGTTCAGTCCCAATTTTTTTTAAAAAACACTATACCAGTCAAAAACTCATGGAAATAATCCACCATTTTAGTATATACCCAACAGTCTGATCAAGTCAGCATTCACCACTGTCAAGGATAACCAGGGACAATTAGGAATGGCAAATACTGAGCTACCAGAGATGTTACATTCCAAGGCTACATTTTTTTAAGAAAAGTACTTTATTCTGATCTAAACAATTAGCACAAGATGAAACTGGTCTCAAATTAATTTTTATTTTATCACCTTTTTTCTCCCTTTCAACACTATACTTAAAATTGTTAAGAGGGATTTACTGTACTTGACTGAAATTAATTCTGAATTGTTAACCAAATGATGCAATCAGGACCTTTCCCCCACTCCATCCGATCTTATTACCAACAGACAGGATTATTCCTGACAGTACCTGTTTAAAAAAATGCTGAATTTTGATTTTTCTGCTCTAGAACCAACATCAATTAGACCATACCAGAAGAAAACAGAACTACAAGAAAATTGGCGTGGCAAGATATTAAAAATTACCTTCCAAATCATCAACTGTCTTCTCCAGTTTTATTACAGATCTTTCAGCAAACTCAGCTCTAGTTTCTGCCTGTAAAAGGATCATTAGAGGACATTGCTTTAGTGCATTTTCATTGCTCCTCTATCAGTGATTTGCTGCATGCTCTATTGAGATAGTCATTTTGGCTACAACTTTTTGCTGTTAATTTTAATCATCTGCAACCACCCTCTAACAACAACAATGAATGATATAAATAATCAGAATGGTGGGATTACACAAAAACACATTCCTTAAAATCTACTGAAAAGGGGCTTCATGTTCAGAGCTCATTGCCAGTGCCGTATGACCACAGACCTCACCACATTTCACAGAATCTCTGATACTTTTTGAAACTTCATTCCATGGCTTTGCACCAATATTCTAGCATCTCTTAGGACAACATGAAGACATTCCACCATCACCTCCCCCCCCATCATTTCTAATGTAATTTCAGCAAATCCCAAGTCATTGCTGTACAGGCTGATGAAAGGAGGTTACTTGGTTAAAACAGTACGTAGCTAAATAGGAAGGTCCATACTTTGATATTTTATGAAGCTGTTAACTGATAACAGACAGTTTGGCAGCATTTGGGCTCCAAACTGTTATCAAATTTGCTGCTAGAAGTGCAGATAGGTCCAAGACACTGAGCTCAGAGATGCCCCCAAGAATAATGCTGGAATGAAAAATGGAAACTAGAAATCCATTCCACTCTAGTATTATTCCTAAAATGAAACTCTATTTTGTTAGAAATACCTGTCACTCACCTCTTTTAGCTTATCTGTTAGCAGCCTGATTTCTTCTTCATATTTATCTTCTTTTGAAGCATACTGAGATAAAGTTTTTTTTAAGAAGAAGAACATTAAATGTCTCTCACGCTACATTTGCTTTTTACATTGACAGAAATCAGCACAGTATTTCAATAAATTTCACAGACATAAAAGATGGGATTTTTTTCAAACCTTCATTCCAATCACACATTTTCCAAAAAGAGGTGACATTTAAAGAGACAGCCCCTGTCAACGTATGAACAAAACTATACTAAGAGTTGAAACAGCTGTATCACGCCACTGAATATATCACATGGGTGGCACTGTACCCGAGCAGAAAGCCAGAACTAGTAGCGCCAAAGCTGCTCACATTAACTCATTGGCAAAACTGTGAAATAGTCTTTGGTAGATGTACGCCCTTCGGTACACCCAATAAATGCACTGCTGTCTTCAAACAAAATGTAACTTGTTTCTACAGCCACATGGACTGAGCAGTCTCAGACAATTTGCCTGTTTACATTTCTGGCATTAACCTTCCCTGAAGGTCGTTTCAGACTGATGTGGGATCAGGTGGCTATTAGCTACAGGAAATGATGGCCACCTGCAGCATTGAGTCTGGGGAAGACAGGGAGACAATGAGGAGAAGGGAAAGAGAAGATCATACAGAAAAGCACTCTGTGCTGGGCTCACGCTGAATAACTACTTAATACATTTCCTGCCAAAGTTGGCTCTTCTAGTACTAATAATGCTAAAAAGGTAATTTGGAGTTTGACTTACTACCAGTCATAACTCTGGTTAGAGAAGGCTTCGTTACAGCCATACAGACATGACAAAACATTGCATGTTTCATATAGGGCCAAAGCTTCCCATGTGCAGTTTGCTGCACTGGCCAAAGGAGAAACAGCAGCTTAGCCACAGTGCTAAATAAACAAACTGGGGTTTGATTAGGCAGAAATTACAAGTATTGACTATTGGAGACAGAAAAAGAAATCAAAGGATTCATTTTAAATATAAGAAGGTGCATCACAGCACTACTTTCAAGTAAATTTCTGTTGAAAACTTATCAGGGACATGGAGGATTAAGACTAGTTGTAAACAATGAAAATTTTATTCGACTCAAAAAAGGAAGGAAGAAATAAAAGGAAGGGAGGAAGGGAGGAACGAAGGAACGAAGGAAGGCAATGCTGACTTGAGAAGTAAACAGGCCAGGGCTAAAATTTCATCAGTAACAATCCCAAGCCTTCTAACAACTTAAGAAAATAAAATGGCACAGTTACAAAATGGATTGAGTGCAAATGCCTTAAAAATCAGCCCTGGACAGCATCTCAAGCCAACAACAGAAGCTGTTGCAATTCAAACAAAAAAAAAGTGGGCTGGAGAAGAAAGCCCACTTAGACATTATTACTGCACAGCCAAAAGGTTCACATTAGCTCCAAAGAGAACTAAAGCAAAAAAGTATCCCCATAGATAAATGATAATTATTTAAGCGTTGTAACTACAAAAGTGTGAGGCTTTAGTGACAAGGCTCACAAATATTTTGACTGAATGCATGCCCAATGTCGCTTTTTAGGTTTTACGTGCAGATCAAAGGAATCTATATTAGATACCAGAGGACTTCAGAAGTATATATAAAAAACACTGACATTATGCAGATTGCCTTTTAGTGTCTAGAATTTGCCCAGTTGGCTTTTGGGGTGGAATCTCTATTGTTGTAAATAAATGGGGCTTGACAGTTCAACCTTCACTTGGGCATGTGAATCTTGCAGTTTTGTTCTAGGCAGCTGGGAGAAAATGGTACTGCTGTCAGCAGCCATTTACATTCCTCCTTCAGTTTTGCAAGCACTGGTGGAAAAATCAACTCCAACTGATCCTCCAATGCACTGGCCCACACCAAAGGAAGCAGTGTCATTTCTTTTATCTTACAAATGGTGTCACTGAAGTTGTCACCACAAGATAGATAAATAAGATAAAGTTCCCCCTTTTCAAAAGCAGTCATTCGGGCCCCTCAGTGCAATCATTCTTGCAATTAAAAATGTGAATTTTGTGAAGTTTATTTAATTCATCTTTCTGTACCCAACAGGATAGTCAAAAGTAGATGTCACCTGCTACAATAGACATCTGGACAGTTACATGAATAGGGAGGGAATAGAGGGATACGGACTGAATAAAGGCAGGTTTGTTTTTTTAGTTTAGTCAGGGCATGCTGATCGGCACAGGCTTGGAGGGCCGAAGGGCCTGTTCTTGTGCTGTAATTCTCTTTTGTTCTTTTGTACACTTTATATGCACGCATACTGTGATACAACGGGTGAACAACAATAGATTAGTACTGGCCAAAAGCCATAGGCTGTAGAATTGCTTAACTGGCGAATTCATTCTGAGGGATTTGTCTGAAGGGCTTTATGGGGATACCATGGCTTTGAAAAGCAGTTGCATGTAGAATCCTCCTACCTTTTCAGTTTGTGCTTCCAAAGACTTCAGGCTGTTGGTGACATTTCTCAATTCTTCTTCAATCTCAGCACATTTACTGTTCAGAACAACATAGTGGGATTGGGAAAGAAGGAGGTTGAGAATATAAAGAAAGTAGCAAGAAACCCATAGCAACCTAACAGTCCTGCTCTCAGAATTTAGGCCCCGACATGGTTGGGAATGTTCAAAACAAAATTTATGACCGTAAACCAGAACATCCATGGGCACTCTATGATCACTTGTATACTTACCCGGCATTGCTGCAAAATGCGGATAGAATCTCGATTAATTCACAAATTTGTCTATTTGGTTCAAATCTCAACACTAAACATCAACTGTGCATGAAGCTTCACATAAGGGTAATGACCAACCCTGAGGAGGAAGTAACGGGGCCAAAGGTTACCTTGAGGCCTTAGAAAGTATTGAAGCCACATCTTGATCTCAGAATTCAGCTGCTATGGGTCTCCACTGGGAAGAAAACCAAAACACACAACTACCAGGAAGCAGAGCAGCAGCAGTAGCAGCAGCAGAAGTTGCAAGGAATGTAGCTTTAATATTTTCTCACACAGAAAACAGAGATGTTGGAAAGAGGAAACAGAAAATAATTAGTGGATTTCTGGGAATAATACCTCTTCCTCTGAGGCCATTAACGATTTCAAGCTCTGGTCCAATACTTTAAGCTCCTCTTCCAATTGCCGCGCCCGACTGAGTTAATCCACAGTAAGGGAGTAGAACAGACAAATCCCGGGGAGTATTCAGCATGCAATTCAACAGGGGAAAAGAAAACCATGTGCCCGCTATCGTTAGTATATTCACAAAATTATACAGAACAACTGAAATATCCACTGAATCAGATCCAGAATTAATAAATAAAATCATTGTAAAAGGGTATGTTTGTTAATTCCTTGATTGTCTAAATCAGAAGTGGCTTAAAAGCCACAACCTTTCCTGCCCGCATAAAGCCTCTGTTTTATCAGAATTTTATAGACTTAAGTTACAATGAGCTGAGAGTTATGAACTCCAACATACTCTAAAAATAGGATGGGTGGGAGACATACAAGGGCAGGAGACAAGAGGGCTGTTCACTACTGGACTTATTTTGCATAGTTGAGAAACACAATAAAAACCACATTCAAGCACAATAAAATAATTTCCCCAGCAGTCTGGCTGGAAAATGCATAAGCCAGACTGGATCCTGATTCGGAGTGGTGTTAGCAAAGAAGTTAAAGATGATGTGTGAACAGCCAGGTGGTGAATCTTCACAAGATTATAGCCTGAAAATCCAGGTGGCTGTTCAGGCAAAGTGCACAGTTAGCACTTGGGGGAGCGAGTATAATAATTATATTCAAGGCAGGAAAGGGAGGGAGCAAATAACAAAAACGGAATAACACCAAAAACCCTCCACCTGAGAGCTTGGACAGTTAATTTCAGTGAAAAAATAAAAATGTTTAAAAATCACTAGCATACTGATCTGAGTTAATTATCCTGAAGAGCTTCTGCATTTAGTTTCCAATTTAATGGCCAACTTCATGGTTTTACTGAAAACAAACCTGCTCAAATCAGACCCAGAGTTCATAGACTCTGGTTTGTTTCAGTTCAGCTTTCAAGCAGAGATGGATCTGATGCAGTAATTATCTCAATCCCAGATGAGATGTTAGATTATTGCTGAAGCAAGAGACATGTTGCTGAAGCTTTTGTGTATTGCAATTATCAGGACAAAATACAAGAATTCAAAATTTCAAACTATTTCAACAATTTACTGTACGAGAGAAAAAGTTGCAAACATTCATATGTAGGGATGCCTTCTCTGCAAACTAAAGGAATATGTTCAAGTCTGTATCTTTTTTCAATTACCCAGGAGCTCAGGGAACGTTTAGTTCCATGCTGCTTGCTCCATGGCAATACCTCAGCCAATCTGTTGTCTTGCCAACCAATCAGCATCCTTTTCTCCTGCGGTGTACATTGCTGTGATCATTTGAAATTGGATTTTTTTTTTGTTTGTACTGAAAGACATAGCTTTGGTAACCGGTCTCTCTTCTCAGCAATATCCAAGATGTTAGACTAATGACCCTGTTGATTTACCCATCATTTAATAAAAAAAAAACACATGCACAGGAGTTACACATACAGAATACAGTCTCTCACTGTTTGAATAAATTCAGCAGGCAGAATTCGAAGTACAAGACACACTCCAATTCAAATCCTACCAACCACAGCAGTCTGCCACGCCAATCACCACCAGCAAAGTGAATAATTGCAAAACTTTCTCCCTCAAAAGATCAGTTGCAGCTTGCTCCAAGTACCTAGCTGATGGGTTATCAATTACCCACTTAGCAACCATGCTTTATAAATTTATTCCGACCCTGTTTGTTGACTACATGTAACATACGCCAGCTGATATGTTATCAATGAACACGGTTTAGGATGAGATAGAGAAATAAGAGCTAAACTAAGGCGTACAGGGGGAAAAAGTATTCAGAAGTCCAAGCTACATTGATCATAGCTATTCATTAACATCTTCAAATGATAAAAGGTTTTTATCTACTGCCAAGTTGACCCGAGATCAGGGACAGTCCTAAGATCAATTCTATGAATTGATGTTGAGGATAGTAGAAAGGCCTTCTTCACTGGGTTTTAGGGTTTGAAGGGAGGGTTAGTTTGGGTGGAGAGGGGAAAAAAAACAAGTGAAAAATCAGGCATAACATTTAAAAAAACAGAGCAGCCAAGGCTTTAGCTTCATCAGCTAACCTCCCACTCTGGTTCCTGCATTTTAACCATTTGAATATCAAGTAACAGAGATATGATTGAAAGCCATCAAGTCTGGATGGTTAAAGAACTCAAACTGCCACATTGGGAGGAAAATAAACCCTCAATACTTCTTCCCCAAAAAAAAAAGGTTGTTACTGCACGTCAACAATTCCATTAATTCTGGATTCAAAAATTAGTTTTTTCTCATTTGGGAAAACATGAACCAGGGATGGGAGATTAAAGAAAGGGACTGCAGGAACAGTCTGCTGAATTTACTTCCCCACTGTCAAAACAGCCAGACTTGGTATGTTTTAAATGAAAAAAAAAGAGGGTGAAGTTTGAATCTCATCCCCTCAGCATCATAGCTGAAAGACACAACATCTAGGCTCCTCAGAAGCAGTAGTACGAGGAGACAGAGATAAAACAGAGAGGATCAGTATTCCCAGCAAAAACAGGTGGGGGAGTACATGAGGGAGGGATACTGCTCCCAGTGTATTCAACTCAACAGAAGGAGAAACATAAACTTCAGTTTTGGCTGGATTTTCTTGCTAATAAGGACTTCCAGCAAATGTAACTTTTATTCAAACAGAGACAGAAAACTGTACTCTACAAGCCACATAAGACCATAAGGAATAGGACTAGGCTGTTCAGTCCCTTGAGCCTGCTCCACCATTCAATAGGATCATAGATGATCTGACATTCCTGACATCCACTTTCTTGCCTTTCCCCATAACCCACGATTTCCCTGCTAATCAAGGATCTCAGTTTTAAATAGACACAAGATTCTTGATAAGACAAGAGCTGAAATGATATAGAAGGATGGCAGGAATGTAAATGAGAATACAATCATATCAACCACCATTTTAGTGAATGGAGAGCATGCTTAAGGGTCTAAATAGCCGATTCCTGCTTCTTGCATGCGTATGTTTTAGCACAGGAAGATGTTTGTTCACAATGCATACAATTCTTCTTTAATATTGCCAGTCTATTAAATCATGAACTTGCTAAGGGTCAAAACAGTAAAAATGAGTGAATCATTTCTTCAGATCAAAAAACTTTTATTTGTACCATGTACCGCATTCAGACTCTATATTATCCCGTAGTTATTTTCAGCAACCAACTTCTGCAAAACTAAACACTTGTAGATTTCAAACTTACCTTTCTGACACCCTTGCCCGCTCCTCAGTTCGCTCCTGATCACATTCAAGAACAACGAGCTTTCGTGCCACCTGCAAGAAGCCAAGAAAAGCTGAATTCTGATTCTGGTATGCATTAAATCTAATCTCACTTTATCTACCTTCTTCATATTGACTGAAAACTATACCTGCCAACACCAGTTTAAGTAACATGGCTCCAGCGGCAATCAACCCTGAAGGGTTCAGTCAGAGAACACAGCCACTGAACCACACTCCACAGCAGTTCATGACTTGAGCCGAGTTAACCAATCTCAACCAGGGTCCTGCTGTAGCTGCCGTTAGCCTCAGCATTATGAGTTAGTAAGGAAAGAACTGGGCTCGGGCTCCTCTGGATCACTGTGCTCAAAACGTGGCTGAAAATATCCTTTTATTTGCTCCACTCTGCTTCCCGTTTCTCAAGGCAAGTAGCGGACATGAAGCCTAACCGGAATACTGCTTCTATGTTCAGTCTAACATGACCAAATAAACTACTTGTCTAGGTTTACACACCAACAGTGTTCAGTTGGAAGAGAAGCCAGCCAGCACTGGAACAATACAACACAAATTGAAGGTGGTCAGACCAGAAGGGAGAAAAATGTTACCTCTTCATATTTGCGATCTGCCTCCTCTGCAACATGTTTAGCTTCCTTCAGCTGCATATCTTGTATTTCTATTTTCTCCTCAGCCTTTAAGACTTTGCACTCCACAACTTTCATCCCTCTGCAGAAAAACAGAATCATCAATGCCTGGGTATCAGGGAGATGCACTGGAACCAAAAAGGTTAAAATACACACTAAATGAAAACCATAAGGAAAGATTTTGTGCAGATCAGCGAATGCAAATTGGAAATCTCTGATCATTCTAAACATTTGTTCAGGCAGCTAAATTATGGCTCCCTCTGGTTGCATAATGCTTATTGCGCACAATTTATACTCAAATTGTACTTCTAACATTATACAGCAAGGTGTTCAATATGAAAATAAAACAAAATGTGACACTGAATGTTATAACAAGCCTATGTCAGAGAACCAGAAGTTTAGTCAAATAGGTTTAGGAGCTGTTTTAAAAAAGTGAAGTAGAGGTTCAGAGGGAATCTGATCACATACAAACAATACAGGTGAAGGGCTCATTTGCCACTTGCCTCTCCCTACCTTCAAATCTCAAAAGCTGTGCTTTGTTTGTTGGACTACTGACAGCAAGACATTGATGAACTCAAGCTTACTCCCTTTCATCTTCCAAACCAGCAATAAAACATGAGGAAACAATAAAGACGCTGCCTTTAATAAGGCTTATCAAAAGAAACAGGCAAGGTGGGACTGATATACAGATTTGAGTGAATGAAATAGCAGGCCCAAGAGATGAACAGTCTACTCATGTCCTGTGTGAAATTATTCATCTATTCAGAGCATAGATTAAAGGATCTCTTCTGCTAGCTCACCTTTGGATCACTACTCAAGTTATAACTTGATTTGCAAGAAATTGAAACAATGTCAGTCTCCAAACACATGGAAGGATATACTTGCATTGGAGATGGTAGAGTGAATGTCAACTAAATTGGTCCCTGGCATGAGGAGGTTGCCTTATGACAACAGGCTGACTATAACTTCTGCAGTTTAGGAGAATGAGGTGGAAGCTAATTGAAACATGCAAGAGTCTGAGGAAATCTAACAGGTTAAGTAAAGAGTGATTATTTCCATTAGTTGTGAATTTAAAATAAACTAATCTCAGGACAAGAGAAATTTAGGATTAAGGCAAGGAGCAAGTGCTTCACTTAATAGGCTACAAATCATTGGCATTTTTCTACTCCAGAAGGTTGTCTGTGCTCCATTGAATATCTTTAAGGCTGGGATGGACAAATAGACAATTTCTCAGGGAATAAAGGGACATGGAGGGCAGGTAGGAAAGAGGAATTGAAACCCAAAATCAGCCATGATCATATTGGATGGTGGAACATGCTTGACTAGCTGTATAGTCTACTCCTGCTTTGTCTTCCAAATTATGCCAGCGATCTGCTAGTACATTCAATTTGTACTATACTTCTAATTTAGAATTCTAGCTACCGAAACTAGATGCACGACTCATAATAGAACTCCATTACTATATGTACAGCTTTCACAAAAGTGAAAGCTTGAAGCAATATACCAAAGATTAGTTAGAGTTCCAGCACAGCAGCTGCTAAACACCACACCCCGCTAAAATAACTGTTGTATTTGATTTCCATTATTCGAAAATAACCATTCGTCAGCCATAGCTTTGGAATGGAATTCCCGAGTTCCTTCGCAACAGAGACCTGGTGGTCTCGCCCTGGGGTGAAGGTCCCACTGATGTGGAGATTTTTTTTGGTGGCAGTATCCAAGTATTCCAGAAGCCCGGCATAGCGGTCTGGTCTCAGCATGATTATCTTCTTCAGTGGCAGCATCCAGGTACTCCAGCATTTGTCATCTTAATCTAACTTTCCCCAACTGAAATTGATCTCAGATGAACTCTATCTTAATTTCTACTTCTTTCTTGTTATCTATGACTTGTGTCATTAATAAAGGTGCCATAGTATGGCCACGTAAAAAATTTTTCATTTTTTTTGTAAAAATAGACAGAACAATAAATTGCCATTCTATTCTATTGCTATGTTTTTATTTCCAAACCAAACCAAATCTCTATTCACCCTCCTCTTTGAATCAAATAGAGTATTAAAAGCTAAAGATGCTACAAGATGGACTGCAGAGCATCTAAAGCCCAGGAGATTGTTTTCTCCTTCCTAAAAACATGGATACATCTGTGTTTGGTAAGATGAATTAACCCCTGTTAAAGAGCAAATGGCAGTCAAAGAATAATTATTGAAAACACAGGAGGAACAATATAACTAAGCTTACTTAAATTGTAGTGGAAGATCTAGAACACATTTATGCAAGGAAGTCTTTGCAAAGGGCTGCACTGAGAGGTGACGTCCTCGATAAATGCACAGTACTGTAACCAAAATCCAAAACAGCAATTCTACACCCAAGAACCATCAATTATTATTTCTCCTATTCCTGGGTTTAGTATTGTGGCTCTTGTATATACTTGCTTCTGAGCATCAGTGTTTGACTTTGGATTCATTCAAATTCTTCCCATTCAAGAGCACCAAAAAGAAAAGTTCTGTCTACATTCTTTCATTCTTATAATTGGCTTACCAAGGAGACAGAAGAAAGTTTAAAAAAAACTTCACAACGTGTTCTTGAATTACTAAGTACTACATTAAGAAGTTCTAAATTTACAGAATTTACCAACATAAATAGATATGCTACTTTGTACATACTACACTCACTTGGCTGTTTTTCATTAGGGTTCTGAAGAAGTCCTACTGGACTTAATATACTAACTGTTTCTCTCTCCAAAGTTGCCATCAGACCTGAATTTCACCTGCACTGTTTTTATTTCAGATTTCCAGCATCTACAGTTTTTGGTGTGTTTGTTTTTATTACAATGCTATAAATTAGTTAGCATGTCATAGTTAGAGAGTGATTGACTGGATCCCAATCATCTGAATCAAAACTATTTCTGGAACTTCAAATGAATCTCACCAGCCCCAGCTGAACTGCAATCCTGCCTCTCACACAGACATTTAACAAACATTTATATTTATCACCAGATTCCTCCTTTTTGGGGACTGTGGGGTTGGAGGGTGGAAGACAGGGGGAGGAGGGAAGGGGAGGGGAAAAGAAGAAAAAGTGCTTCTTTCCCAGATTAGACAAAAATTCTTCAATGTGACAGACACAGGGACAATGCATTGCCTCCTACCGTTCACTCTCATCTGCTGATTTTTCAGCCTCCTCTAATTTCTGCAAGGCAGCAGTCAAACGCTCTTGAGCACAATCCAACTCTTCTTCAACCAAATGGATACGTCTATTCAAGGAAGCCACTTCAGACTCCGCCTGGATTGAAAAATGCACACGAGTGAGTATGATGCTCTGAAAGCTACAGTCATCCGCTACAGTCATCCACTATGAGACAATAAAACAACTTAAACATGTTGTTTCGGGGGTATTGTTAGATAGCCTGTTGGGAGTTACTTGCGAATTGCACACACTTCAGCTCGAGTTAAGGCAGGAGTCTCAAATCATTCTGGCACATTTTCAAATAAGGCAGCTCGGTAAAATTATCATCTCCAAGCAAGTCTCGCAAAGCCATGACAACTCCAAACGTTAAAGTGGTATGTCACATGTTTCTCAATATATATTTTACTTGAAAAGCCCTGCAAAGTCTGTGGGAATAAAAATTAATTCGATAGCATTGAATGAGGCAGATGAGATTGTCGAGTTTGGTCCTCCAGCAGTAAGGAAGGGACATTCAGGACTAATGATTGTAATGAGACAGTGATAGATACCTTAGAGAGAACAACCATTGATTTATTCAAAGTGCAGTATGTAACTCCAAGCTAGGGAAGCAGCAGTACTCACAAACAATGGAAGGAAAGTACCCATATGGAGAAGCAAAACAAAAAAGGTGAACAGACCAGGTGACATGAATGAGATTAGAGACCAGTAAGTGGTTAATGGAAAAATAAAGGGAGATGTAGGAATAATATCACTGTCTATGGCAGGCATATGGAAGTTAATGAGATTCACTCAATGGTAAAGTGCCATGGCAAGCATTTCCACTGATCACTACAATACGGATTAAAGAGAGCAGTTTTCTCCAAGCATCTTGACACGGAACTACATCACTGACTCTGGGTCCACAGTCCTGTAAATTCCGCCTTAACGTGAGTGTACCACAACGACACAGACTGCAGCAGTTTAAGCCAGCTGCTCAACACCACCTGTTCAGAGGCAAATTGGGATTGAGAACAAATCCTGGCCTTGCCAGGTATGTTCACATCCTAACAAGCAAAAACAGTTGCTGTAGAGAAATGCCAATCTGCTAAACTGAAAGCCACGAGACACTCATAGGAGCAATGAGATTTAGATGGTGTGACGGGGTGAATGTGTCTAGAGGTTACAATTGACTCAAGTGCAAGACAAAAGTAAATGAAACGAAAAAGGTTCTTGAGTTAGAAGACTGGTTGACTCCACAGTTAACACGCATTTCCAGTCTCCAAAAACACCTAGTTCCTCCCAGAAACAGAAATGGTACAGGAGGGAATAGCTTCAGGATGAAGGAGTCGGTTGAGCAGAACATCTTGATATTTCACAAAGATAATGAGAATAAATCTGCATTTAAAAATAACAGAGGGAATGCAAGAACAACACTTTTCTCCTGGTACTTAAAAAAGGGATGAAATTCTCACAATCAGCACAAGTCATTTTGCAGGAGTGGAGTTTGTTTCTGAACACAATTTATCCCCATCATATATCATGCAATATTTTCCAGTAATTCGTTCTCCAAACTGAAAAACCATATCTACAATTTCCTTTCACAGACAGTGACATTTCCATCCATCCATGTGAGTGGAATTTAGCACTGGAAGAGTTTAAACATGAATCAGGAGTACAGACATTCCAGGGCACCAAGAATATTGGATCTCTCACACACACACAATAAGGTTTCCACAAGGTTCAAAAACAAATCAGGATTTGATAGAACTTGGCCACATTGAGAAGTACAGAAAGCATTTAAAACTTCATTTTCTGAAGATGAAAACACAAATTAAAACAAGGTTATTGCGATATCACACTACTCTGTTGGCCATCGGATTTGTGGAAATGTAGCTTTTTTCCAGCATTGTTACAACTGTTACATTTTTATTGATATTTCTGAAAAGGAAAAAAAAAAAATTTCTTTCCATTCAGCAGTTTATGCTGTAATTCTCAAGACCAGCCCACTATTATGACAGTTCTATCTCATACAACAACGATGATGATCTCTTTCATTTCACTGCAACAATCCAAAAAGCACTACTAAAAACAGGCACTTAATTTTCTCTCAGCAAGAAAGTGCAGAATTCAAAACCAGGCCACAAGGGCAAAGCGCAACAAGATTAAACCACAAAGACTCTTCAATCCGAAAGGTTCCCTCGCATTCTAAGGTAGATGTACATGTTCCATCATTACGTACCAAAGTTCTGGCCAACTAGTTTGAAAGGAATCTTTCATACATTGAAGGTAGTATTACAAAATCGATTACCAAAGCATTAAGAAAGGGAGAAGAAAAATACAGGAGAGTGGGGTTCTTTAGCTTTGAAAGGAGACACCACAATATTAAATGACACAGCACAAGATATTTCAGGGTTTTGTATCAAGTAGACGCAGGTAAATTCAATAGACATTTAATACAACTGTCGTGACCATTTCCTCAGAAAGCCATGCTTCTTCGAGACTATGCGAGAGTCTCTCTGTTTAAAGAATCACCACCCAGGCATTGTTACTAGCCATCTGGAAGAAAAATAAAACTTCAAGCTATTCCTTTTCCAACATTTCTATCAGGACTCTCCAGTCTGCTTATTCCCATTTACAGACTGGGTGGCCGTGTTGGCATTTGCTGAATTTCCAGTGCTCTCCCTACTTTCTGGTTCAATTCCCAAACCAGCCCTATTCCATTGAAATTAAAATGGAATGATGAGGCAGTTCTCAAAAAGTGCAATGTAGACGCCCTTGTTAAAATGGATATCAGACACAAAACAAGCTTTTTAAAAAAAATCTGAGCAATTACAAGACTGAAGTTAAAGTTAATAAGAGGCTGGTCAAAACCACACTATCAGTCTTAGCAAAGACTAAACATGAATCTGGTCAGTACTTGCACAAATACAATCAAATTTACCCTCAAAGTGATTTCAGGAACTATACATCGGGGAAAGCAAGCGGAGGCTTGGGGACCGCTCTGCGGAACACCTACGCTCGGTTCGCACTAAACAACTGTACCTCCCAGTCGCAAACCATTTCAACTCCCCCTCCCATTCCTCAGATGACATGTCCATCCTGGGCCTCCTGCAGTGCCACAACGATGCCACCCAAAGTTTGTAGGAGCAGACGTCATATTCCGCTTGGGAACCCTGCAGCCCAATGGTATCAATGTGGACTTCACAAACTTCAAACTCTCCCCTCCCACTACCGCATCCCAAAACCAGCCCAGCTCGTCCCCGCCTCCCTAACCTGTCCTTCCTCCCACCTATCCCCTCCTCCGACCTCAAGCCCCACCCCCATCTCCTACCTACTAACCTCATCCCGCCCCCTTGACCTGTCCGTCCTCCCTGGACTGACCTATTCCCTCCCTATCTCCCCACCTACACATCTTTACTGGCTCCATCCCCGCCTCTTTGACCTGTCTGTCTCCTCTATCCATCTTCTATCCACCTCCCCCTCTCTCCCTATTTATTTCAGAGCCCCCTTCCCCTTCCCCATTTCTGAAGGGTCTAGGCCCGAAACGTCAGTTTTCCTGCTCGGCCTGCTGTGTTCATCCAGCTCTACACCTTCTAATCTCAGATTCTCCAGCATCTGCAATTACTACTATTTCAGAAACTATCATGCAGTTTATAGAAATTCAGGTGTGGTAATCTAATGATTGACATTCCAGATAAATCTGAGCATTGGCTCTGAAACAGCAAAGGAGTGCTTCAAGCAGGAGATACCAAACTTCACCATCCGTTCAGTTCTCACACAGACTATGTACATTCCTTGCATTCCTAAACTATAATGAGTAGAGTAGGGCCTTTGCTCCTTTGTTAAAGCAAACTTGTGCAACTTGGAAATCAGACACTCCCAGAATGCAGGGCTGAAAACCAGTTTGGCTGCTCTACGATCATCTTATTTGAGTCAGTACGTCTTTCAGTAAATGAATGAATTATCCAAATGCATTAACCAGTATCACGTACAAATACTGCACTTATTTTGTCAAGTACAATGAAATAATATCCTCCATTTTATTATTTAATTCAACTTAAGCAGCCAATGGACCAAAGAAAAACATTTGACTTCACTTGCCCTCACCCAATCTACTTTTAATTCTGGTAACTCAGGAACTACAAGCTGGAATCAAACCTTGCTGTATGAGTGACTTGGCCCAGAAGGAAGACACTTCTGAATCACAGAACTGTTATGGTGCAAAAGGCTTGAGACAGGATGAAGAAAAGATTTGAGAATGATTGCAGGAATGAGACACTTCTGTGTGGATAAACTAAAGCTGGGGCTGATCTTGAAGAAACTGAATATAGAGGCGCTCAAAATCAAGATGGGTCTGGATATTGCCATTGACAGAAGTGGAGGTGCTGGCGTTGGACTGGGGTGGACAAAGTCAGAAGTCACACAACACCAGGTTATAGTCCAACAGGTTTATTTGAAATCACAAGCTTTCATAGAGGTGCTTCTTCATCGGGTGAAGCACACACTTCACCTGATGAGAGGTGAGGTAATGTGGTGTCTACGCTGGGAGCAAGGCTCAACAGTAAGCAGGCTCCCATTTAAAGTTTCTTCTCTCAGAGTACCATTAGTTCATGGAATTGTCTTCTGCAAAGAGCCGAATACAATGAATGTATTCAATGACAAATCGCAACAATGAGGAAAGTGGAGGTAAGGTAACAATCAGATCACAGGAACAGGAATTGGCCATTCAGCCTTTCATACCCGTTTCTGCCACTAAATGAGATCATGGCTGATCTGTGGCTTAACTTCCTGTACCTGCCTCTGGCCCATTTCCCTTAACACCTTTGATAAATCTTTGTTAAGCAATCTCTGATTTAAAACTAATAACTGATCTAGAATCAATTGCTATTTGTGGAAGCATGTTCCAAACCTCTACCACCTTGTGTGTAGTCTACTTCCTGAATGGTCTGGCCTTAATTTTTAGACTATGCCCCTGGTTCTAGAATCTCCAATCAGTGAAAATAGTTTATCTTTATCTACCATGTTTTTTCCTGTCAATATCTTGAAGACTTAATGAGATCACTCCTTAACCTTCTGAACTCTACAGAAAACAGGACTAATTTATCTAATTTCTCATTACCAAACCCCCAAAGTCCACGAACCATTCTTGTAAAGCTACACTGTACTCCCTGTAAGGCCAATATATCCTTCCGGAAGTA